ATTGGTGGCGACTCTCTAAAACCAATGTCTAGCGATAGATCCCCGGATCTAGACGTTATGACAAATAGCTTATGTAAATTTTACAATCACAGTTATGGCTTCTGGTATTATGTTATTAATCGTTTGTTACTATCTTATTCATCATTTACAAAGAAATAAAGAAGAAAATGAAAAACTTATAGGCAAATCACAATATTTTATATTCATATATACTTTAAGAATCCAAGTATATATTCCAATTAAATAACGTGGATATCACGGCAATGTGAATTTCAATGTTGACAGCAATGTCAAGATCCTCTCAATCAATATAATATTTGATGTTATAGTCTCATAGACTTAAAAATAGATATGAAATGCTTTTCAAAAAAAAAAAAAAAGAAAATGGAACTTGCAATAAAAATTCTTCTTTCCACGAAGAAATAGAATGTAAGAAGAAACCACAAGGAAAGGGTGGAAAGAATTTTTTAACCCAAACTCCACGATTTCATGTAAAAGTCACACTACGAGCTAAAGTATTAATTACAAAATAAAATAAAAAAGTATATCATTTACAATTGTTATAGTAACTAGTTATAATTAAAATTTATATGAAATTTATAAAAATTTTATATGAAATTCACATTTATAAGTGATAGATCCATACATAATTCTTTAAGTAATTGAATAATTATAGAATTATAATAAAAAGAATTGTAGGTGAAATACTCCAAAGTTGATTTACCTGTTATTAAATTTGTTATTAAAATGTTAAAAATATTTTTATATTAATATTTTAAAATTAAAATTTATTATTTGTTAAATAAAATTCTCAACGTTGAACTCAAGCATAGAGGTGTTTATAGGCTGATCTAGGTTGGGTCAATTTTTTATATTAATAGTTTATATGCTTGCTTAGGTTTGGTTTGATCTGATATTTTGAGTCTCAAAAATTTTTTTAAGGTCAACCAAATTTGAAAAAGTAAATACCAAGCCCCTCCATTAAACCTAATTTATATAACAAAAATTAGAAAATCCTTTTTTTAAATATATAAAAAAAATTTCATATATTTATATATATTTATATAATTATAATATTTCAATTATATATATTTTATTTGAGTCGGATCGGATTCGGATTTTAATTTTTCCATACCCAACCCGAAATTTAAACAAGCTTATAAAAATGTGCCCATGCCCATTTAATATACTTTTATTTTTTGTCTAAACTTTTTCAAAATTTGACGAGCTTTTAGGCTTAGCTTGACTTTAGAACAAATCTACTTAGGTAGAAAAAACATATTTAGGATTGGATCAATGTCTTTGACCAATAGCCTAGATAATAATTGGGTCTATAAACACCTAATAATTAACAACTACTTCAACTATAACAACTAAGAGAATGATAGTGAAATGAATGATTTTTAATCAAGATTGATCATTGGTAAAAAAATAGTATATTTAAAGAAAAATCAATAAACAAATCAATATAAACCAACATAGAATTAAATTAAATCCAACATACATGAGATTCGATTATAAAATCTATTGCTTCCAATCCCTTTTTCTTATTATTCAGACAAAACTTTATTGATAGTATGAACAAAGTTTTAATTTGTGGAAAATAAAACTCTATTGCTTGGTTTACATGCAGAGGCACATATTTGTTTTATTGTAAAATTTTAGTAATAATTATACATAAGTTTAATAAAAACAAAAATATATATTTTATATTTTTATGTTGATATAAATTATGATATATAATTTTCATATAAAATACAATACAAATACATAAATTTTGATATTTAAATGATACGAATACACAAATGGTTAAGTATAGTCTAATAACAAGATATCATAGAAGCATTTACAATGTTTTATATAGACAACATCTAATTTATGGTAGAAAATTATAAAAATGATTAATATTATGAATGATTTTTAAATTATAATAAAGTATTTAATATGATATTTAAATTTTAAACATACCTAAAACAATATAATATCTATAAATTTTAAAAATAAAGTAACATCCTAATCATGGTATTTGCAAGGGATGATTAACCGTGGAGCTACAAAAATTATTGGCTTTCTTAATTCTCTAAAAACATATTATTTGAAAAAAAAAAAAAAAAAGGTGTCTATGGACTAAAAGGAGCCGAGTTTGGTTGAAACCTAAAATTCTTAGGTTTGGTGGGTTTTGCAATTCATTTTTATTTATCATTAAAAAGATTTTTATATTAACAATTTACTATTTTTAAATATATTTTAAATTAAATTAACAAATATTGTTTAACGAGAACAAAATAAGCAATAAACCTTGTTAAAAGCTTTAAAAATTTTGCTTAAGACTTGATTGAATTGAGACTAGCATATGGTCTGACACATAGACAAGTCTAATATCAAGCTATTATAAAAATATTTACATTATTTTATATAGCCGACATTCTGTTTATGGTGGTACATTATAAAAATAATTAATATTATGAATGATTTATAAATTATAATAAAATATTTAATATGATGCTTAAATTTTAAATATTTCTAATATAACACTTAAAATATAATAAATTTTAAAAATAGTAACATCCTAATCGTGTTATTTGCAAGAAGTGAGTAATTCATGGAGTTGCAAAAATAATTGGTATTCTTAATTCTCTAAAAATATATAATTTGAGGAAAAAAAAAAAAAGGTGTCCATGAACTAAGAGGAGCCGAGCACGGTTGAAATCAAGAAATCTTAGGTTTGGTGGGCTCTGCATTTTATTTTAATTTATCATTAAAATATTGAAAATATATTTATACTAATCTTTTAATATTTTTAAATATATTATAAAATAAAATTAAAAAATAATTTTTTATAATATAATAACACAATTAATTTGAAGTAAACATAAAAAACTTTGGCAAGTCAAGGTTCTTGCGTAGACTCTGTTTGGTTTCTTTTTCTTTTTGCCTAAAAGAGTATTAGTGTCTTTTGTTCTCTACTCTCATCGATGGTAAATTTCAGGAATTAAAACTTGAATAAACTAATTTATTATTAAAATCACATTTTCTTGAAAGTTGCCGACGTACTTTACAAAAATTTTGCAATGAGATAAAGTGCGTGCCTTTGCGTGTAAAACGAAGCACAAGACTTTCAACAAATTAAAACGTTATTCACGCTTAAGTAAAACTAACGGGGAAGAAATGACTGAAGTGTCAAGCAAGTTGGAGTTAATTTCTCAACAACTTTCTTTTAGGTTTGGCCAACAACCGACATTGCTTTTGCTTTTAAAAGACCAATAGTTATTTTTTTTATTCAGTTTTTTCTATTTATGTTTTAATTTTTTTCACTTTTTGGAATTTTTTTTTATGTATAAAAGCCAAAAGTGCAATTTGATATTAAAGTAACTATTTTGAAAAACTAAAAATTAAAGAAAAAAAATTTAAGTATTATTTTTTACCATATTATTCAATTTAAAATTATTTTTATAAATGATTTTTTTAAAATATATCCTATACAAAGCGAAAGCTTCATTCTATTGATATATGAAGCATAAATTTCTTTTATCCTTTATTAATAGTTTATGTAAATTTTTAGTATTAAAATTATGAAATTTAATATCATATTATTGATCGTTTACTACTATTTTATTAATCATTTACAAAGAAATCAGAAAAGAAAATGAAAAACTCGTAGACAAATCACAACATTTTGTATTCATATATACTTTAAGAATCCAAGTAAATAATCCAATTAAATAACGTGGATATGAAGACAATGTGAATTTTAAGGTTGACGCCAATGTGAAGATCCTTTCAAACAATGCTATATTAGATGTTATAGACTTATAGATTTAAAAGTAAATATGAAATGCCTTTTAAAAAAATAGAAATCAAATGGAACATGCAATAAAAGGTTCTTCCAGGAAGAAATAAAAACGTGGAAACAATTTTTAACCCATACTCCACGATTTCACGTAAGTCACATTATGCCCTAAAGTATTTATTACAAAATGAAAAAAAAAAAAAAAGAAAAATCAATTGTATCATTTACAATTATTATAGTAACTAATCACAATTTAAATTATGTGAGATTTATTAAAATTTTATATAAAAATCACACTTATAAGTGGTGGACCCATGTATAATTTCTTAATGTAATTAAATAATTATAATATTGTTATAAAAAAATTATAGGTGAAATGTTCCCAAACTCATTTACTTATTTCAATTAAATTTGTTATTAAAATGTTAAAAATATTTTATATTAATATTATAAAATTAAATTTTAATTAAAATATATTATTTATTAATATAATAAAATTCTCAACGTTGAACTCAAGCCTTAAAAAAATCATATTTAGGACTGGATCTAAATCTTTTGACCAATAGCCTAGAAAGTAGTTGGGTTTAACAAGTACTCCAACTATAACAACTAAGAGAACGATTGTGAAATGAATGATTTTTTTATCAAGATTGATCATTGGTACAAAAAAAAATAATAACCAAAACAACTGAATAATAGAAAAATAGTATATTTACAGAAAATTTAAATTAAATCCAACATATATACAATGAGATTTGATCACAACACCTAATGCTTCCAATCCCTCTTTCTTATTATTGAGACAATTTTGCTCTAAATATGATTTTTAATTTGAGGAAAATAAAAGTCATTGTCTTATTGCAAAATTTTTTTCTAAATTATATCGGCCACTTTCGACAGAGTGATTTCAGTGACTATTTTATACAAATTTCAATTCCAAAAATAGTAGAATTTACCAAAGATGAGCGAAGACAAAGAAAGAGACTAACACTCCTTTTAGCAAGAAGGAAAGGACGAGGGGAAAAAAGTTCTAATATTTTTTTTACTTTCCCTTTTCTTTCTTTCCTACAACACGGAGTCTAAACGATCGAAGACCACCTTGATTGTCTATATATATTAAGCTTGATGCAAGGCTTATCGTTATATATTTAGAACTAGCAGTTAAGAGAGAATTGAAAATATAGAGATCATATATAAAGAAAAAGAGATGATGGAACCAAAATGGTTGTTGTTGAGTGTGTTGCTGTTGTTGTTAGAAGGATGCAGATGGTATAGTACTGATGCCTGTTGGGAGGAAGAGAGGATTGCTCTCTTGCAACTCAAACCTTTCTTCAATCCTCACAACGATCTGAACAGTTGGGTTGATGAGATCAAGGGTTCAGATTGCTGTCAATGGGATAGGGTCGAGTGCAACACCTCCTCCTCCTTCTCCTCCAAGCGAGTCATAGGACTCTCTCTTAATAATACAAGATGGCTCGGCAACGAAAGACGGTATCTTAATGCCTCCTTGTTTCTTCCTTTCAAGGAACTGAAGCATCTTTATTTGACAGGGAATAACATCGCTGGTTTTGTTGAAAATGAAGGTCGCTTTTGCCTTTTCATCTTCAATTATTTCATTGTTAATTTGCAATATGAAAATTCATTGATCAGTTCTTCATTTTTACAATTTCATATTTAATTCTATTTTTGTTTTATTGATGAAAAGCCACTAAGTCCTTATTATATATTTAAAAGAACTCTCTTGCAGGTTTTGCAAAGCTAAATTTGGAGATCCTTGATTTAAGTTACAATTACCTCAATGATACAATTTTATTATCTTTGAGTCAGCTTTCATCTCTCAAGGATTTATATCTAGCAGGAAACTTGTTCACAGGATCAACTTATGCAAACGGTAGAGTTAAAACCAATCTAATTATGATTATGAATTATATACATTAATTAAAATACTAATCTTTTTTCGTTACAGGTTTTCAATGGCTTTCAAGACTTAGTAATTTGAAAACTCTTGATTTAGGGGACAATTCTTTGAAAAATAACATATTGTTTCATATGAATGGTCTTTCATCTTTAAGGATTTTAAGTTTGAGTACAAATCACTTGGAAGGAACCACTCATATTCATGATAAACTTGCTTTATCTTTCTTTTACGTTCAAATCAATTGTTGTTTTAGAAAAAGGTGTTGCATATCATTTGCTTTAATATGAACTATTAATTATTCATTGGCATTGAATAGGATTGAATAATTTGACAAATTTGAAGAACTTGGATTTAAGCAGCAATAGAATTGAAAGCTTTCAACCATCCAAGCAAGGTATAAATATATATTTCAATTCACTTAATTAAGTTCTTATTTACGTGACCAATGCATAAATTTTCCCATTAACAATGGCATATAATAGAAATATTCTTCTACAGGAAAGGAGATGCAACTAAGGATGACCAATTTGGAGGTTCTTGATTTAAGTAGTAATCTCTTCAAGAACGACACTTTTGCATTCCTTTCTGGCCTTTCAAGTCTAAAGTCCCTGAATATGGGGGACAACCAATTGCAAGGCTCAATAGATATTGAAGGTAAAGCTATTACAGCTTTTTTTTTTTTTTTTAATTCTGTTTTAGAACCTTTTTGCTCATCAAATAGTTAAACTTGCTTTATCTTTCTTTTACGTTCAAATCAATTGTTGTTTTAGAGAAAGGTGTTGCATATCATTTGCTTTAATATGAACTATTAATTATTCATTGGCATTGAATAGGATTGAATAATTTGACAAATTTGAAGAACTTGGATTTAAGCAGCAATAGAATTGAAAGATTTCAACCATCAAAGCAAGGTATAAATATATATTTCAATTCACTTAATTAAGTTCTTATTTACGTGACCAATGCGTAAAATTTCCCATTAACAATGGCATATAATAGAAATATTCTTCTACAGGAAAGGAGATGCAACTAAGGATGACCAATTTGGAGGTTCTTGATTTAAGTAGTAATCTCTTCAAGAACGACACTTTTGCATTCCTTTCTGGCCTTCCAAGTCTAAAGTCCCTGAATATGGGGGACAACCAATTGCAAGGCTCAATAGATATTGAAGGTAAAGCTATTACAGCTTTTTTTTTTTTTAATTCTGTTTTAGAACCTTTTTGCTCATCAAATAGTTAAACTTGCTTTATCTTTCTTTTACGTTCAAATCAATTGTTGTTTTAGAAAAAGGTGTTGCATATCATTTGCTTTAATATGAACTATTAATTATTCATTGGCACTGAATAGGATTGAATAATTTGACAAATTTGAAGAACTTGGATTTAAGGAGCAATAGAATTGAAAGCTTTCAACCATCAAAGCAAGGTATAAATATATATTTCAATTCACTCAACTAAGTTTTTAATTATGTAATCAATGTATAAAATTTTCCATTAACAATGGCATATAATAGAAATATTCTTCTACAGGAAAGGAGATACAACTAAGGATGATCAATTTGGAGGTTCTTGATTTAACTAATAATCTCTTCAAGAACGGCACTTTTGCATTCCTTTCTGGCCTTCCAAGTCTAAAGTCCCTGAATATGGGGGACAACCAATTGCAAGGCTCAATAGATATTGAAGGTAAAGCTATTACAGCTTTTTTTTTTTTAATTCTGTTTTAGAACCTTTTTGCTCATCAAATAGGTAAACTTGCTTTATCTTTCTTTTACGTTCAAATCAATTGTTGTTTTAGAAAAAGGTGTTGCATATCATTTGCTTTAATATGAACTATTAATTATTCATTGGCATTGAATAGGATTGAATAATTTGACAAATTTGAAGAACTTGGATTTAAGCAGCAATAGAATTGAAAGCTTTCAACCATCAAAGCAAGGTATAAATATATATTTCAATTCACTCAACTAAGTTTTTAATTATGTAATCAATGTATAAAATTTTCCATTAACAATGGCATATAATAGAAATATTCTTCTACAGGAAAGGAGATACAACTAAGGATGATCAATTTGGAGGTTCTTGATTTAACTAATAATCTCTTCAAGAATGGCACTTTTGCATTCCTTTCTGGCCTTCCGAGTCTAAAGTCCCTGTATATGGGGGACAACCAATTGCAAGGCTCAATAGATATTGAAGGTAAAGCTATTACAGTTTTTTTTTTTTTAATTCTGTTTTAGAACCTTTTTGCTCATCAAATAGGTAAAATCTCATATCACATTTGGGGATTTTTCCTCTTCACTTAAAGCTTTAGATTTGTTTTTCCGTTTACTCCATTATAAAGTCATTAAAAATATTTAGTAAAAGATTATTTGAGTAACCAGGCTAACATAATGATTATTTGAATTGAACTTGGACATAGAATTGAATAATTTGATGAATTTGAAGAAGTTGTATTTATACTACAACAGAATTGAAAGCCTTCAATCCTTACGAGGTATGCATTTATATTTGCTCAATTAGTTACATTGTTATATATAATTAAATATTATGTAAATCTTTTTTTAGTGATGAAATTATGTAAACCTTATGTAGATAGTGGGAGACAGCTGAACTTAACCCATTTAGAAGAATTTGATTTGAGTGGTAATCTCATTAAGGACAGCATATTTGCATTACTTAGCGGGCTTTCAAATTTGAAGTATTTGGATATAAGCTCCAATCAGTTAAATGGATCAATAGATATGAAAGGTAACATTACTTTTTTGGCAAAAATTTTGAATTTGTTAACAAAAATCTTAATTCATGTTTCAAGATGATATAACAAATAAGTTCATCTATTTTTTTCTTTAATGATGAAATTATGTAAATTATTTATAGATATTGGGAGACAGTTAAAATTGACCAATTCTAAATGCTTGATTTAAGTCATAATCTAATTAATTATTACTTTTCAACCAAAATTTCAACTCTTATAAATACTTAAAAAAAACAAATTTCACGTTTTCAGGTGATTTAATGACGTTTATTTATTTTTTTTTTCCAGACTTGGGTGCTTTTATCAACTTAGAGGAACTGGATATGAGCTCTAATGATCTGAATGAATTTGTGGCCTGTAAAGGTATGGATTTAAATAAATTTTCTATTTTTATTTGTGAGGTTTATAATGATGTAGATGTTTTAATGATCAACAAATTTAGCGTATTAAAATTTAATACTCAATTTTTTAAAGGAAGAAATTAATTATTATTATATGCTTTTTACTACAATACTACAATTCTCTAATTATAATAAAGAATTACGTAAGAATCAATCATTTATAAGTGTGACCTCCATATAAAATTTTGTTAGACCTCATGCAATTTTGAATTGTGATTGCTTAATCGTATTACAATGATTATAGGTGAAATGCTCTTATTAAAATTAATGGCCAATTTTTTAAAGGAAGAAATTCATTGTAATTGATTACTAATTAGAAAATGATATGTATTTGCCTTAGATAATTGCTTTCTTTAAGAAGTGTTGCAACGGCATATCAAATATTTCCCTTTTTGTTTGTATTACCTTGTTGTGTCTTAGACTTGGACTTGTTTGCCTTTTGTCATTCTGTTTTAGATTACTACGCATTCTTATTACCGTTTAAAAAAATTTACCTTTTCATGTTACCGTTTTGTTTGATTTTCATTTTTTTTTATTGTTTCGTATATTAAAATTTATATTAAAAATATTTAACGTTTCAATATTCTTCTCTATTAAAAATTCATCTTGCATAAATCTTGAATATATAATCTTATCTACAAAATTGAAATTTTCACTTGTTTATTTTTTTCATTTACAGAGTATAAAAGTTTGAAAAAGTTAAAAGTTCTTAGTCTAAATGGGGTTTTCACCAATGGAAGCATTCCACTACTGCTAAAATTAGTAGATGCATTCCCATCAGTTAAGACCTTTTATCTACGAGAGAATTACCTAAACAAGACTATGGCTGCTCAGGATCAAGGTAAGTCATTAATTTTTCCGAAAGGACGTAAATTAGTAGTTGTTTGTTGATTAACATCTAAGAATACCTCTTATGCTATGATTACTCAGAATTGCATGTATGGAACAATGTGGAGGAAATATTTCTAGACCTTTCCTATCTCGACAACAACATTTTGCAAAGCATTGGAGTATTCTCTTCTCTTAAAACTTTGTCTTTATTTAGCTGTGGACTTATGGGTTCCTTACCTAATCAAGGTAAATTAAAGACTCCATAATTTCTCCAATATAACTCATAGAATGCATCCATTTCCAATAATTCTTTATTCTATTTCTTTTATCTAATATCTCCTATATATTTTGATTTAGAAATCAATTTTTAATTAGAATTTATTCCATGAATTTATAAAATTTTCAGGTTGGTGTGATCTAAGGAACCTTGAAAAGTTGGATATCCATTGGAATGCACTTGAAGGGATACTTCCTTATTGTTTGGGTAACTTGACATCTCTCCGTGAGTTAGACATCTCTTACAATCAATTTACTGGAAATTTGACTCCTTTAGCAAATCTTTCATCACTTAGATATGTCTCCGTTTCAAGAAATCATTTTCAAATTTCAATGCCATTCTTGTCACAAGCAAACCTTCCAAATCTCAAGGTTCTTTTGGGTGATGAAAACAATATGGTAACGGAACCTATTTCCTTTCATACTTCAATTCCGAAGTTCCAACTAAATTTCATCAGCTTGTCAAAGTGTACAACATATAAAGGACTTAGCCTACAACCTCCTAAGTTCCTTTATTACCAATATGACTTGAGACATGTTGATCTTTCCTATAACAATTTCAGTGGAATAGTGCCATTTTGGTTGGTAGAAAACAACACAAAATTAGAAGATCTCCTCTTGTTGGGTAATTCTTTCACTGGTCCTCTCTTGTTACCACAGCTTCTTCATCCTAATGTGTCCTCAATTGACATATCTAATAACAAATTACAAGGTCAAATTCCAACAAATATATGTTCAATTTTTCCACATTTGGAATTGTTAATCTTATTCAAGAATGCCATTGAAGGTAATATCCCTCCTTGTTTGAGTGGCATGAACACTTTATCAATTTTAGACCTATCGAACAATCATTTATCGGGAAGAATATCAGAAGAGTTGATCATGAGAAGTTCATTACTTACTCTTAGGCTATCAAATAACAACCTAAGTGGAAATATTGTTCCTGTGATGTTCAACACAAGCAAGTTGTCAAAGTTGTATTTGGATGGCAATAATTTTGCTAGAGAGATACCTGATATTGATATCTCTGCTACTGATTTTTCACATTCATCACTAGAGGATATTGATCTAAGTAATAACAGTTTTAATGGAAAGCTCCCAAGATGGAAAGGGAATGTATCGCATTTGAAGAGATTGGCTTTGTCCAACAATCATTTCGAAGGTTCTATTCCAATGGAATTGTGCAACTTGTATCAGCTTGAATTTTTGGAGCTTTCTCAAAACAATTTATCTGGCTCTATTCCTTCTTGTTTCAATCCACCATATTTGAGACATGTCCACGTGAAGAGAAATAGACTAAGCGGTCCATTGACATTTGCTTTTAATAGCTCTTCATTAGTGACATTAGATCTTAGAGGGAATAATTTGACCGGTAATATTCCAAAATGGATTGGCACATTTTCTGCTTTAAGCGTCCTTCTTTTGAAAGATAATCATCTAGACGGTGGAATTCCAGTTCAATTATGCAAGTTGTATTCATTGAGCATCATAGATATTTCTGGAAATATGTTTTCTGGTCCTATACCTTCTTGTTTGGGTAATTTAACTCTGGCAATGAATGAGAAGAAGTATTCCGTAGAAGATCTACCAATAGACGTTTTGATGCAATTTTCACGTGGTTATCCTATTAGCTACATGGAAGAATGGATAGAGTTTACAACAAAGAGTGCGTCCTATTCATACGGTGGTGAGATTCTTGAGTACATGTCTGGGATTGATTTATCTTGTAACAGGTTAACTGGGCAAATCCCACTAGAACTGGGAAACTTGAGTGAAATCCGTTCGTTAAACTTATCACACAATAACTTGGTCGGAGTTATATCTTCTTCATTTTCACAACTTAAGCAAATCGAGAGTTTGGACCTTTCTTACAACAACTTGAGTGGTAGAATCCCTATACAGTTGGTTGAGTTGTACTCCCTGGAGGTTTTTAGTGTGGCACACAACAACTTGTCAGGTAGTACTCCAGAACCAGAAGCTCAGTTTGGGACCTTCGATGAAAGTAGTTACGAGGGAAATCCTCTTCTCTGTGGGCCTCCATTGCAAAATAGCTGCTCTAAAACTGAGTCACCACCAAGAGTACCATCTACAACAGATGATGAAGGAGAAGGTAGTTTCATGGAAACTTATGTTTTTTGTGTGACATTTCTGGTTTCATATGTAATTGTTTTATTGGGAATTTTTGTTGTTCTATACATAAATCCATATTGGCGACAAGCATGGTTTTCTTTCATTGATAGTTGCATCACTACCTGTCGCTACTCAATTATGGGCAATTTTCTTGAGTTATACATCTTCAAAAGATGTGCTTAAGTGTCATGGGAGCTCTTATGATTTGCCTTTTGTTTGAATGTGGTGAAGATTTGGATGAAGTTGATTTTTGTTATCAAAAGAAGTTTGGTGATTTGATCTTTTAAATGAGGGATTTCTTTTAGCAGACTATTCTTCTAAAATGGTTGTAGGACGAGCTGTGGATTTGGTTACTCATATTGCTTAGAAATAGCAATTTGATGATTTTGCACTTTCAACAGAGCTTTTTGTCAGTCGAAACTCTGTTTTTGGTATTTGCTTTGTTTTGAAGGAAGCTTGTAGCTTTGTGTCTTGTTGATTTTATGTTTGTATACAAATTATTCAATTCTCTATTCTCCATCTTCTCCAAGTTATTGTTAATATCTTTTCCAAGTTATTATTCAAATTAGCAATTTTTTCCTTATTACTTTTGAGTTAGTTTTGAGTTTCTAGTGAATGATTTTTGGCATAGATTGTCGTAAAGGCCTACCAAGAAAATTTCTAAAGTTTTAGTAGTCGGATTCATATTTTTAATCAAATTTTATGTCAATCCTACGAAGCTGTTTCAATTTATTTTCTTCGATGCTTAAAAAGTTGGATTTTAAACAAAAACAATACTAGTAGTATTAGTAAGAATTTGAATCTTAAATGAAACACATCACAATAATTCAATAAATAAAAATATATCAGAAATTTAAAAAGAGTTTCCATCATATTGAAGTAATATGAAATAGTAAAGAATGTGCTTTTTCTTTTTTTTTTTCTTTTATTTATCAATTTCTCCTTTCTTGCCCTTTTATAGAGGTTTTATTTTTATTTAAAATTACTTAATATTTGTTGTTTTTTGGAAATTAGTATTAGTTTATAAAATGAGCCAAATAAGATTGATAGTTGAAAGTATGGTTTTGATCGCAAAATGCAATTATTTTCTTTTATAGGGTTACAAAATATTTCAAAATAAAAAAAATTAAATTTATATATCTCATACACATGGAAACCCACTCAAATAAATAAATTAAATGCATAATCTTCCAAAACAGTAATAAATATAGGATGTTAGCCAATGAGACTATGGCTTGGTATAGTTTGTTAATGAATTATTCTATGATTGTAACTTGATTATGATGTAATAATTGATTATTCAATTAATTATATGAATATAATACTTGATTATTATTATAAGAATTAAAAAAAAAACTAAAATTTCTGAATCCATGCTTTGCATGGTTAGTTTTTATTTATAGTACTACTTTTTCTTTTTTAATTTAAAAGCTGTTAAATGTAAAACTTTTACCATTAAATTAAGTGAAAATACATAAATTTATTTATTTATTTATTGACAAAGAATATAATTTAAACCTATTTTATTTTATTCTTTTATGATAATTAAAAATATTTTCAAATTTTCACTTGGATCTATTTATAGATAATTTTAAATAAATATTCTTTCACATTGATTTGATCATTTGGGAGTGTTTTTTACAAAAGTCTTATTTAATTTTTAATGAAAATAATTTAGTAGCAGAAGAGGAGGATTAAAATGTTTTATGTGATTTGAATTTAAAAAATTTTTAATATAATATTTGAATTATAATTTTATTAATTAATATGAATTATTGTTTATCAATCACTTATCATTATTTAAAACATACAAGATTAAAAGTAAATATAAAATAAATTAATAAATTTATAATTTAAATTATTAAAAAATTTTAAATTCAAATACTTAGTTTTTAATATTTAACTTAAAAATCTATTCATATATTGAAAATAAACCCCTAAAAAATGATCGTACTACCCCCTCTTGGTTTGAGAAGAATTTAACATGCGACTAAATTAACTATTTTACCCTCATACCATAATTATAAAAATATTTTTCTCTTAAGTTGACTATTATCTATTCATACTATAATTAAGAAAATACTCATTCTTTTATAATTATTTATTATAATACCCTCATACTATAATTACAAAAATACTCATTTTTATTATTAAATTAGAAAAAGAACCCTTCTTTTATTATTGACCCAAATTACTATGATACCTTCCTAACATAATTATAGAAATACATTTTTCATAATTGATCAAAATTACTATAATACTCTTCTTACCATAATTATGAAAATGCTTTTATGAATGCTTAATAAGAAGTTGACATGTGATACTTTATTTCAAAATTAATAACATATATTAAAACAATCCTTTTATAGTGACTATAATAACGCTTTGTTTATTTGAGGTGATATTGATGTGTGTCCAAATTAACTATAAAGTCATTTTACCATAATTACAAAATACCTATCTTCTTATAATTAATTAAAATTATTATAAAACCTTCTTACAATAATTAAAAATACCCCTCATGGTATAATTGACTAAATTTTCTAAAATATTCTTCCTACAAAAATTACAAATATACCCCTACCATAATTAGCAAAAAATTACTATAATGCATCTCATATGGAAATGCTTTTATAAGCACTTCATACGAAGTTGATATGTTGCATTTTATTTTAAAATTATTATAATATCTCTATTAAATTATATATTAATTTTTAACATAATATAAAATTAATCATATATTAAATTATTAAAATATCATTACAATTGGTTTATAAAAATTTGACATGTGATATTTTATTTAAAAATTACTATAATAACACTATTAAATTACATATGAAATTTTAACATCATATAAAATTTAACTACATACTAAATTATTAAAATACCCTTGCCGTTGTAAACCTAAAAATTTGACATGTGAAATTTTGTTTGAAATTCACTATAATAGCCATATTAAATTACTTATTAAATGTTAAATAACATATATTAAAATAATTCCCATTTAAATTACTATAACACTATTTTGTATATTTGATATGATTTTAACATGTATCCAAATTTACTATAATGCCTTTCAATTATAATTAGGAAAATATGACTCTTCTCATAATTAGCCAAAAATATTATAATACCTTCTGTCATAACTATAGAAATATCTTTCTTATTATAATTGACCAAAATTACTATAATTAAAAAAAACTCTCTTACTATATTTGGTCAAAATTATTATAAT